TATTTAGGAATATGATAAATGACTGAATGCATCAAAAGATATAAAGATGTCAGGTCAGTGCCAGGCTTTAGATTTTACACATCACTGACCTTCTGTGTCACTGGACTTAAGGGATCCAGGTGCTTTAGTGGGGAACATGGGCATCATCTCCCTGAGCAGCTAAAAGAGATGTAAAAGAACACTCTACTCAAACGTATTTATGCTCACCAACAATAATAATGGTGAGAATAAGAAAATATTGAGGACAAGAGTGAAGAGAGGATCATGACATCTATGCTCTAAACTTTAAAGTTGTAGCTGAGAAATAGTCAAAGAAACCAGAAAGGGTAAAAAAAAAAAACTAATGGAGCATTTGAAAAGTACAAATTAAAGCAGACATTAAGAGCAGAAATCCCTTCAAAATATCCTTTTTCACAGTAACAGTTCCTCCAGAAAAAATCAGCTTGGATGATGAAGGCAGCGGCCCAGAGGCATGAACAACTGAATCCAAAGCAACCCATTGCTGATTTACAAGGGTTTACAAATGAACTTCCTGCTCTGTAAAAAAAAAATCATGAAATCAGTGATGGAAGCTACTATCCTACAATTTGCAGTTAATAATCTAATTTATTAGACATTAAAGCCTATCTTTGAAGGTTTAAGAAGACTATTGACAATAAAGGTGCATCTTAATAAATCTGATTTTTGCTGGAAAGATCTTTTATTTCAGTAACTCAAGTCACGAAGGAAAATAACACATTGAATGATGTCTTTAGTGTTTTATTTTTGTTAATTAAGATGAGTTTCTGTCAACAGCTAAAAGAATTATGACATGTTACAATTACAAAATAATTTGAATTCAGAAATGGGGGCTAAATAATGAGTATGTTAAAGACTAACTTAGGGGTTATTATTTTTAATATGATACATTCAATCTGAAAAACATCCGCCACTGAAACATGCTGGGGAAGATTCTCAGTCATCCAGGTCATAGTCATTCTGTAAAAGTTTAAAAAACAATCCACTGGACTTTGTTACCGAGGTTTGAAGACGTTTCGCTTCCCCTACAGGAAGCTTTCTCAATTCAAAGTATCTGGATTCACATTGAATTTGAGGCTTTATATAAACGAGGCCTTGTAATGCTTGGAAACATGCAAATTCATGCAATAATTTGCACAAGGCCTTATCAACATTGTCGCGTCTGATTAACAGAACCTTTTTAGCTTATTTACTATTCTCTGACATTGGAGCCAAAAACATCATTGTTTACAATTTACATTTGAAATTATAAACCAATCAAGTATTTTCTGTCAAACTATGTCTTCCAAATGTATTAAGTGAAAAAAAATCAGAACAGTGTGATGTTTATGTGTATTCAGCCCTACCGGCTCAATAGTTAGTGGAACTAGATGATGTTGCTGTTGTTGGATATGGTTGTTGTGTCTATACCAGCTTTGAATTGCCAATAAAACAGTTCAGTGCCAGTCTAAACTCTGAGTGTGCCTTTTTAACACGTAAATTTACTTTGATCTAAACTGTAATGGGTTGCAATTGGAGAGCATTTTTTTTCATGTCAGGGAATTTCAAAAACCTTTCTCATATTCACACAGTGATGGTGGTAAACTGCATTGTAGCCATGGCTGCCCGCGGGCACACTAACAGATGAGGGTCTTCTGTATACACTCTGACCACCATCAGTTGGCAATACGGGTGAAGAGCCTTGACTAAGACGGAGAGAGATGGGATTCAAACCTACAACCCTGAGGTTGCAGGACAGACACCTCAACTGATCCTACTGTAACTCACTGGGGTCTCTGTATACTGAAAGAAAATGTTCTATCCCTGCCTACAGCTTACGGAGCTTAACACGGTAGTGTTTATCTCCATCCATTTTTCCATTTTTCCTTACACTGCTAAAGAAAAGCATTTTTCATCCCCACCATGTTTCGCTGTTGAGAAGATGAGTTCTGATTTATGCAAAGTGTTAGTGTTCCATCAGACATGGAAACCAGATTCAGTTTAGATTTAGATCAAAATCATTTTCTACTTGAGAGTCCTTTTTTAAAGGTCAGGTTTTCAGAGGTGACTACCAATAATGCAGAGTACCCATTGAGCTCAGCATCTCTGTACCTCCTCCAGGATTATCCTTGGCCTCTCAACTACTTGTCTGAATAATGCTCTTTAGTTTAGATAGACAGGCATGCGCACGGGCGGTTCTAGACAGGTGCAGTGCCACTGTTAAAATGGTCCTAGCCCCTGTTATGACCCCTGTTCTGAAAACATACAATGCAAAAAAGGTAGATATGTCTTTTTGTCTTGAAATCAGTGTATTGTCCCTTGCTTTAAGTAGATAGGTATGACACTTTGCCAATGGAATAAGATGATTTACATTAAAAAACTACTCTGTTATATTATGTCAAGTGCATAATATCTAATCGCCTAATCATATTTTAAAGGGGAAAAAACAGATTCTTTTTTTAGATCATCTAAGTTACCTGTTCAAATGAAGGAAGAATACACTTATCTAAAGAAATTCATACTGATTTTAGATCTGTTTTTACAGTTTAAGTCAATTTCTTATGATGATATAGACTCACAGAAGAGACCACAATTGATTCATTCATTGGACTAATTTAGTATTTTGTATTTAAAATGTATTTTATTAATAATTTACAAATGACAAACATCTTCAGGCTTCAGCCATATAAAGAGGATCACAGTTTTTATTTGTTAGATTCCGAGACTACAACCGTGGCTTTGTGGTTCACTGTTTCTTATTCTTTTATTCAGAGCCCCCACGTAAAAACTAGTGTTGCTCACACTGAGCCTGGTTCTGCTGGAGGTTTCTTCCTGTTAAAAGGGACTTTTTCCTCTCCACTGTCACTAAAAGCATGCTTAGTGTGAGGGATTGCATCCGAATCAATGAGTCAATGCAATCAACTGGTTTTCCTTAGATAGAACACTTTGAATCAATTTGACTGTATGATGTGGTGAACTGTAAAGTGCCTTGAGATGACATGTGTTGTGAATTGGCACTATATAAATAAACTGAATTGAATTGAAAGTCAACTGGTTGCACTTAATTCAGCAGTCATTGCACACACCAGATGTTTAAGACATATATCTTTAATGAAATTGTCAGAGTATGAATACATTTTAACTTCTTTTCTTCTTGCAAGCTTATAAGCATAGAGTGTAAATGATGACCAGGGGCGGATTTAGGAAATTTGGGTCCCTAGGCCAAGACAGGCAGAGGGCACTCTGAATTGAGAAGACAACACATAAAACAGACCCATTACACAGATAGAAAAATTTTAATAGAATAGACATTCATTATTTGTTCTAGGTTTTGTCCCTCTTCTTGTTCCTTTCCTTGTTTTTTTCCTCTCTGTTTTGTACTCAGCTGACTTTTCATGCTGCCTCAAAAGGAATGAAAGATTTTTTTCCAAGCACTAAGCTCACTCAGCTGATTGCTCCTTCCTGTGTTTCCAAAAAGGTGACAGCAAAAGTAAATAACCCAGTCCTTATTTTCACTGTGGACAAGCCATGATCTACAGAAGAGGATTAGGGCCACTGAAAAAAAAAAGGTTAACGGATTTTTAAATTTTATTTCCGTTTAATATGGGAAAGTCAGAATTTTGAGATTAAAGTCAGAATTCTGACTTTTTTCCCATATTAAACTGAAATAATATTCAAAAATAAGTTCACCTTTCTTTTCAGTGGCCCTAATCCTCTTCTGTAATGATCTGCTTATCTGTTCTCCATTATTCATTTGGATGAAATAATAGCTGCATTATTCATGACAGCAGACAAGATAGAGAAGAGCAGGAGACGGGGTTACCAATCTACTTGCTCTGGAGAGCAGAGTTTGCTGCTTTTAGATGTTGTCGCCAAAGTCTCCAGTAGCAGAAAAAAGTCGCTAGATTTGGCGTTAGGCGCTTTTATGAAATCAAAGCGCTAGAGGGGTCTGAAAATTTGCTAAAAACAAAAGCGCTAAGCTGGCTGAGACACACTTAATATTCTGATGGTGTTTTAACGAAAGGATTTTTAATCAAAAACAGAATTAATGTGCACGAATAAGGATTATTTGTATTATTCATACATGTAACACGAGTTTTATGGGGCCCCCAGGAACTTGGGGCCCTAGGCAACTGCCTAGTATTTCCTAATGATGATCATAGTCATTTTCTCCCAGGCTACATTTTTTTGTAAATTAACTTTTTAGCATAATAACGATTAAATATTTTAAGAACGTACAATAAGGCTCTTATATTTGTTAAAGTCCAGTGATTGAAGATAAAATGGATTAAAGTTTCAGCGCTCGGGGTTCACTTAGCTGTGTCTGCTTTGTGATTGAAGCAGAGAGGCAGAGGGAGGGGAGAGAAAGCAGCGGAGCAGCAGCGGCCAGTGAGCCACCAGTCCTGAAAGCAACAAATAATAGCGAATTTAGCGGGAATCAGCTAGAAAACAAAACTTCTCTACAACAAAAGTCCTTTTTTTGGTTCTAAAACGACTGGTATCCCAAGAAATAGGCGACGACGCGTGGTCGTTTGGTTTTTTTATTTTATTTAAGAAGGCACCGAAGTCAGAACGAAAGAAAACAACAACACTGGAAAAAAGACGAGGATTACACACAACAGTGACAATAATACAACACTAGAAGTGGTGCTGAGGGAGAGGTCCGGCTCAAAACCAGAAAATATCGACAAACGGGTATTTCTCTGAGCATATCGTGTGTGATTTATTTCCAACTGGCTTTTCTGTGTGAACTTTAAACTCAGGAAACAATGAAGACCTAGTCAGCAAGAACTCATCAAGTGTCTCGACGCTGCTAGCCGTCCTGCTAGCGTCGGGGAGCTAACTTAGCTGTTGGCTAACGTTAGCTTGCTAGCTAAACGTGTTTTTCCGAAACTTTTTGTGTTGTTTCCAAGAAGCCCAAACGCTGAAGGATATTGTGAAGACAGAGGGGAAGGGCAGGATCCCTTCTGGACTATCACCCCCCCTCTGCGTACTTTTCTAACATGATGGCTACAGAGGTCAGCAGTGAGGATACGGGTTCGGTCACCGCAGGGACGGGGGTGGCAGGCGGAGGAGGCCCGGAGACGGCCCCTTTTCCCTACTATCCTAAGCCGAACAGAGTGAGAATGACCGATCTGGGACCAGGACCGACCCAAACAGCCAGACAAAATTCAAACACATCCCCCGATTCGCTTCCAGACACGAGTATGTATCCGGTGCCTGGTGGGGAAATAACGGGCTCTTTGCTGTCGGTGGCTGGGAGTGGTGGAGAGGCAGTTTTTCAAGGAACCAACTCAGGGACAGGGGGCGGCATGTGCAGCTCTCCCACTTCGGAGAGTCCAACCAACCGAAGTTCACCCACATCCACAGGCCCTGATGGCTCATCGGGCTTCCCTCCTCTGCCACCCGCTCCCCCCATGGATGAAGGAGACCTGCCAGATTGGGGGGATGAGGAAGATCTGGTGTTTCCTCTCTCTGCACCTCCCACGAACCAGTAAGTACGATTAAAAAATAAAAAAAATAAAAGACGCAAAGTTCTTTGAAGTAAAGAAAACTGAAATTAACCCCCCCCCCAAAAAATATTTTCAAGTAAGCAGAAGTGTTTGTGGTGCTGACTTCCTTTCCAGAGCTGTTTTACGGTATAAGTAACTTGCGATTCTCACATGCGTGTCTATTTTCAGACTCTTCAGCTAATGTGCAAGTTTTATTTCTAGTTACCACAAATTCCTCGATTCACATTGCTGCCGATTATCTTTTTGTTCTCAGTATTTTTATCCAACTGGATGTGAATAAAACCTCAAAACAGGTTCTAACTAAAGGAAATCCATTTTATTAGTATATATTTTTTTTTTACTTAAGAATAAAACTAAACAAAAACATCTTGCACAGGATGATGTTGGAGTCAAATTGGAAGGTGTTTTTTTCACTTAAACATAAAAATTTATATATATATATATATATATATATATATACACAGATGTGTCAAGTAACTAAGTACAAATACATTGTTACTGTACTTACGTACACTTTTTAGGTATATATACTTTGGTCCATTACCCTTTTTTCTTCCTACTTCTGATGTCTACTCCTTACATTTTCACACAAGTATCTGTACTTTCTATTCCTTAGATTTTTAAAACAAACATTACTCATTACTCTTGGCTTCTGTTTTATGTTTCTAAATATTTATTTCACGTCATGTGTGCCATCCAATACAGATCATTGGCGCCATCCACATCTAGTGAAAACTAGTGTAGTTGGATGAGTCGTATAAAACACTCATCGGTTAGCTATTTGTCAAATTTGTGCTGGAGCCAAAGGAAATCATCATAAGCAAGCAGGTGTTCAAACTACAAACGTGAATTGTCTATGCCATGCTACAATGTTAGATTCAGAAAAAGATGTTAAAATGTCTGAAAGGTCGGATATAGGTGAGCGTATCGGGAGATGGA